ATGGGGCTACCCACAACGGTCCCTGAGAGCAAATGGGGAGCCAGACTAGTTGAACATCTACGGGGAGAAGCGGAAGAGTTGATGGAACATGTAGAGCTGAGTACCATCACTGATGACAAGGGTTACAAAAAGGTGTTTGAACTTCTTGACGAGCGCTACAAAGAGCTGGACAAGGACGAGCTTCAACGCTGTCTCAAGTCGTACTTCTATGCGGCGCCAATCAAGAATCAGGAGACCTATAGGAACTTTGTCATACGGATGGACACAGCCTACAGAGGGCTGACACGGCACAAAGTAGAACTACCTGAGCCAGTTAGAGGGTGGATTCTACTGAAGAAGCTTCTTTTGGACTCGACATCTGAGGCCCTGATCATGACGTCTACATCGGGGTCACTGAACTACACAGATGTCCTAGGAGCTCTCAAGGCTGTGTTCCCAAATGGCCAGGGTCCCGGAGTGAACCCAGGCAAATCAAAGGACAAGGAGATCTTCATTGCCCAGGAAGACAGTGAGACACCAAATGAGGCCACTGAACTTGAAGTACCAGGCAACGATGACTTCTTAGAGGTCATGGAAGCAGTCGCCACTCAAGCTCAAGAACAGAGTGACTATGAGTCTGAGGATGCATTGGAGGTGTTCGAGAACTACTCTAGCATTCGAAAAAAGATGCAGGAGAAGAAGACCTCTCGTGGCTTCAGACAAGTGAACACGACTGAGAAACAATGGAAGCTTGAAGGAAGCGTTCAAGGAAAGCTGTCACTCTTGAAGGCAAAGACCAGATGTCATCACTGCAGGAGAATGGGTCATTGGAAGAAGGAATGCCCGCTTCGACAAAATCAAGGCAAGAAGAGCGAAGGAGGCCAGAAGGAGGTCCACATTGTAGAGAGCTACAGTGATGACGAGGCCTTCTTCGAGAGCTATGTCCTAGACGAGGTCAAGGGCAAGGACTATGAGCAGGAGTACCACGGGTACCAGGAGACTGACACCAAGACCAAGACGGAGACACAGAAAGACCAGGGTGCCAAGAGGAATCGAGACATATGGGTCTTAGACAAGGAAATGGGTGTCTTGGAACGCATCCATCAGAAAGAAAGGAAGGGACTTTTCACACCACATGGAGTCAAAGATCTTCCTATCGCCATGGAGGAATTCTCGGGCGAACGGGAGACAATCATGATCAATGTGGCCACCGGAGAAAAGAGTGTCATCAAGGACAACTACCATACGACCAGAGTGCCCCATCAGAAGATGGACTACAACTGGTGTGGAAAGACAAAACTCTACCTGAAGACCATGGACCAGTCCAAGAAGTCAAGTACCTCGACTAAGGTGGTGGATCCAGATGCTCAGCTGCGACTTTTTGAACATGAAGTACTGAGCGCAATTCATGAGGGGGCGCAGCCAGTTTTTTCCAAGTCTGACCAGGCAGCAACCCTGGATTCTCACGCAGTTCCCGACACGGCATGTCGCCGTACGCTGATCGGTGATTATGTGCTGTCATTGCTTGAGTCTAGGTTGAATGAGAAGGGTCTCATTGTGACTAGGCGTAGAGAAGTTAATGAATTCCGTTTTGGGAACGCGGGGATTTTGAAGTCTTGTGAAGTAGCTAGCATACCGGTTACTATTGGGGAAAGACATGTGGTTGTCAATGCAGCAGTTTTGCCTGAACCAGGCAGCCGAACACCGTTTCTCTTTTCAAAAGAACTGTTGAAGAGTTTGGAATGTATTCTTGATACTACTACTGATGAGATGGTCTTCAAAAGAATCAACCAGCGAGTGAAGATGGGGAAGACAGAAAGGGGCCACTACGCAATACCAATACTGCCACGAGAGTTCATCTACAAGAAGCCGTCAGCGGTTCAAGGTGAAGAGACTGCCTCGAGGAAATCTGAGTGCCATGTATCGCACGCAGGAAGTGCCAATGACACCACTGGCACAAGAGTTGATGAACGGGCTCATCGTGGAAGACAAGATCGACATGACCCAGGAAGAGATCGATCGCTACAGCGATCACGAGGAAGACGAGCCAATGAAGCCAGTTCATGGACAGGAAGTGATGAAGGCCGGCAAGTACAAGAACACTCACAACATGGAGTATGCCTACACTCAGGACAAGAAGCATCTGAAGTGGGTGCGCTCCAACATCCAGCCACAGGGTTCAAGTCCAGAGATGAGGCGTTACCGCCTCTATGTGGAGATGAGAGACCAGAAGAAGAGTCAGAGACTCTTGAGCCGAATGGAACAGCAGCGTCCAGTTGCTCCTCAACCCAAGACCCATGTGGCAGCAATGACCACAGCCAAGGCGAAGGCAAAGTCAGTGGAACCACCAGCGAGCTCAAGACGTCGAGAGAGAGAGGGAGAAGGATGGTCTCACGAGATGACAGCGATGGAGATGGACTACGACGAGTACAAGACATGGGCATTTCTGGACGAGCTAGAGAAGGAAAAGAACCAAGAGCAGCAGAATCAGATGTGGCAGGAGATCGTCACACATGTGGCAGAGCAGAACCCAGAGAAGGCACAGAAGATGATGCAGGTGTCCGAGATCATGGGCATTCACATGGCATGGAAGATGTTCAAGGCAGTCGAGGAAAAATAGAGCCACTGGAGGAAGTGAGCAGAAGTGTGATAGAAGCGGGGCTGGACAAGATTGAGCGGGAAGCTCAAAAATGTAGATGTGATGTGATGATTATTAGCCAAACCTCCCTATCACAGCATGAGGTGGCGGAGATTTTCTCTGTTCCACGAGTAAGTCAAGCAGCTGCAGCTGTGGGACTGAAGTGTGGGCCGTCGTATGACATACTTACCGGTGTTGACTTGCGCGACAAAAAGGAGCGTGACCGAGTGCGGGAGGAACTTAGGGTGAGAAAGCCAAAGCTACTGGTGGTGTGTCCACCATGCGGGCCCTTTTCCCCACTCCAAAATTTGAGAAAACACTGGGATACCAAGGAATGGTTGAAACAACTTTATGAAGGGAAAATCTTTCTGAGATACGCTGCACAGCTGATTCAGGACCAAATGGACAGGGGTGACATCTTTGTTTTTGAGCATCCCTTGAGAGCGAAGTCATGGAATGATGTTTGCATGCAAAGGCTCTTGAAAAATGACCAGGTGCACAGGGTTGCGGCTGACCAGTGTATGTTTGGTTTGAAAGACAGAATCAGCAAAAGACGTCATAGAAAAAGTACGGGTATCATGACTAACAGTAAACATGTGGCTCAAGAAATGGAACTGAAGTGCAGTCAAGACCATGAACATGAACCAATCATGGGACAGGTGCGGATCGGAGGACAATGGGTGTCTCGTTCAAAGCTGGCTCAAGAGTACCCCCAACAATTTGTCAAGGCTCTTTTAAGGGGTTTTCTGAGGGACATGCATGAGAGAGAACAGAGTCATGTAGTTCATTGTGTCTTGACGGTCGAAGGGTTGGACGAAAACAAACAAGACGACAAACGGATTGCTGTGTTGCTGAAACGATGTCATGAAAACCTTGGACACCCTTCCACACCACGGTTCATTGGAATGCTGAAAGCTGCTAGGGCTACGGAAAAATGTATCCAAATCGCTAAGGGTCTTAGGTGCACGACATGTGAACAGTTCCAACAACAGAAATCTCACCATGTTTCCAAAGCCACCCCCATTTATCATTTCAATGATGTGGTTGCCATGGATACGTTTGAAGTTGAGCTTTCTAGGAGAAAGTTGAAAGTGTTGAACATCATTGACCTGGCCACCCATTTCCAGATGTGTGTTCCCTTATGGAAAGGAATTGAAATCAAAAGGATTAGGAAGGCATACAGGTGTTTCTGGAAACGTTGGGCGGGGCCCCCCAAAAAGGTGATTACCGATGGTGGGGGAGAGTTTGGACAAGAGTGGACGGACATGTTGTTTAGGGACGGGTCAATACATGAGACTACAGCAGCCTACAGTCCGTGGCAGAACGGAGTATGCGAACGTGCAGGAGCAACTTGGCAGACGGCTTTTCAAAAAGGGTTACTGGAAGTTGACCCCCAAAGTAAAGAGGAAACCGAAGAGCTTGCCGACCAAATAACTAATGCACGTAACACCTTGGTTAGAAAAGAGGGATACTCTCCATGTCAGCATGTGCTTGGACAAGATGTGAGAATACCTGGATCCATTCTCATGATCGACAGAAATGAACAAATGGAGTCTGCTCTTGAACAAGGAGAGAAGACACATGAAAGAGCACATAGGATCAGAATGGCAGCCAGGAAGGCGTTTTTGGAAGTAGACAGTGAAGACAGGTTGCGTAGGGCACTTAGTCACAGAACCCGACCACAGAGAGGGCCTTTTTCGCCAGGCCAAGAAGTTTTAATTTGGAGAAAGGGTCGTGGGCAAACAAAGTGTCACTGGCAAGGACCTGGGAGAGTTGTTGGAGTGCACTCGGACAAGGTGTGGGTTGCGTTTGGTGCCAAGATATACCGTTGTTGTCCTGAACAAGTTAGGCATCAGAGTAGAGAAGTGCAAGACTTGGCAAGGTGGATTCCAGAAAACTTGAGAATCCACAGAAACAATCTGAGAGAGAGGGGGGCAGGAAATGTCGTGGAATTAGACCGACAGCCTAAGCCTCCTGACTCAGAGCATGAACATGACATGGACGTTGATGGAGGTCAAGACATGAGCATGAACATGGAACATGACATGCATGAGTTTGGTGACAGGCAAATGCAAGAACGGCACTGGCCACAGGAACATCATGTGGACAGTGATCAAATCATGGACACTCCAGAATCTCCCGCACGGACCATGTACAGTCCGAGCATGGGTGTGTCAGTGAACCAAGAGCAGGAGAGTCAAGGATCGGACATGCAGACTGAGGACAAAGATCCAATGATGGAAAATGACACACATGGCATGGAACAACATGACACGGGACAGCATGGCATGGAAAGGCATGGCATGGAACAGCATGTGGAGCAAGAGACGGGACAGCAGGGTTCACAGCCTTCACATAGCATGCAGAGACCAGGTAATGAGCCAGCACTTGAATATGGACCAGTAAGGACGACAAAGCTTACTGAAGCTATGAGAAAAAGCCTGGACAACCTGGATTTTGGAAGACCACGACATGACACACCAGAAACCAAGTGATCATGCTGCGAATGATGCGTTTGAGTGTGAGTTGTTGCATGACACATACTTGCGTAGGAAACTTGAGGAGTGTGCTACTTGTCATGTTAGTGATGATGTGTTCATGGCCACTGTGAAAAAGGCAGGTAGGAAGGAGATCAACATCAAGAAACTGAACAATGACAGACTAGATGAACTGGTCAATGCAAAGGCCAAAGAGTGGGCGAAGATGATTGACTCCGGAGCTGTTAAAGTGCATGTTGGAGAAGCTGCAAGGAGACTGGTAGAAACGCATGGCGGAAAAAGGTTACTTGAGAGTAGGTACGTGTACACCACGTCTGATGGAAAAGACACTGGGCCCTTGAAAGCAAGGTGGTGTATAAGAGGTTACCTTGACCCTGACATACTTGACCTTGCAACCGCCGCACCAACCTTGTCACCCGAGGGGTTTGCTACAGCCGTCCAAATGATTACCTCAAAGAAATGGAAAATGAAGATCGCAGACATTGAAGCTGCCTTCTTGAGAGGTGATGATATGAAAAGGACACAAGGCAAGGTGCTAGTAAAAGTACCGAGTGATGGCATACCCGGAGTTGACAGTGAGTCAGTCATAGAACTGATAAAACCAGTATATGGGTTGGCAGACGCACCACGACTGTGGTGGAAGTCACTGACGAAGACACTGGGAGAACTGGGAATGCGACAGTTAAAGCTGGATAGTTGTTTTTCACTACTGGGACCCCGAAACTAACGTGTTGGATGGAATTATTGCGTTTCATGTGGATGATCTGATAATTGGTGGCAGTGAAAAGTTTTATGATGATGTTTTTGGGAAACTGCAGTCGAAATATCCTTTCAAACATGTGAAAGACAAACAGGGTGAGTTTTTGGGTAAACAATTGGTTCAATGTGATGATGGGACTTTGTGTATCCAACAAAAGGAATATGCGAGTGCCATGGCATGTATTCCTGTGTCAAAAGAGAGAAGGCGAGAAAAAGAAAGTCCCATCACGGAGAACGAGAGGGGACAAATGCGTGCAGTGCTTGGTGAAATCAATTGGTTGGTTTCTGGAAGCCGACCTGACCTAGCTGCTTCATGCTCACTTCTTCAACAAAGAGTGTCAAAAGCTGTTGTTGGTGATTTGATTGAGGTTAACAAGGTTGTTTCTCAGGTTCATGATCATTCCAACGCTGAAATCAAGATTCTTCCTATTCCTATTCAAAACTTGGAAATTGGGGTTTGGTCTGATGCGTCTTTTGCAAATGCTGAAGCACACAAAAGTCAGGGAGGGTATATGGTTTGCGCAGTGGAAAAAGGGCTCAAAGAAAATAAGTGGTCAAAAGTCTCTCCATGGAGATGGCGTAGCTTCAAGCAGGACCGACAAACTGCTTCGACTCTGGCAGCACAGTTATTGACTATGTCAAGGGCAGTGGCTGAGGCGAAATGGTTACGATCAATGTGGACAGAAATGACGTGTCCATCATATACCCTGGAGAGTGACAGAGAACTCACGAAACAAACTGCTATCGTGCTCTCAATAGACAGCAGGCCTGCATATGATCACTTGCATGGACAAGTCATGACAATCAAGGACAAGAGGCTGGCAATTGAGATGCTTCTGATGAAACAAGACATTGGGAGCGAAAATGTGCTGGTAAAATGGCTTCCTGCAGATCTGATGATAGTAGATGGACTGACAAAGTTAGGTGCACCTATGATGCTGCTTCGGAGAGTGTTACGAGAAGGCAGAGTGATACTACAAGAGAATGATGAGATGACCAAATGGGCCGGCAAACTTCAAAAGAAACTCAAAAGTTGATTCTTTTCTGTTGTTTTTGTGTTTGGTGCTGTTGTTTTGTGTGAAAAATGGAAAGAGAGACGGTGAAGCGTGTAGAGAATCCATTAGGGGACGTGTGAAATGTACATGTCAGTCGGATTCTCTAACATGAACTTATGTGGACATCTGGGCACGAGCCCCCTTAGCATAGCCGACGATCAACCAAAAGGCGCGATGGATCTACCACCTGTGTACCATAGTTGAGGTGCACAATGATGCCAATCCCTATTTAGCTGGTCTATGCCTCCATGTTTGATGATGTTGATTACATTCTGTAGGGTTTAGCATGTTTTTGCCCTTATTTTTCTTGGTTTAGCCCTGGCATGCTGTGGCCCAACCCCTGCATCAACCGGCCCAACTGGTCCAACCGGTCCACCACGTCCTGGTTCAAAGATGCCACACGGGCCTCTTTGGCTGCCACTGCCTGCCGAAATCCAACTTTGCAGTGGAGAATGTCCATTCTATACCTATTGGATCCAATTGGGTAGACCATCCCCAAAATCATCATACATGGGTATAAACCATTATTAATTATTGCTTCACCAACGTTAGTTCCAATAAACAATCCTTCAACCTCCAGCCGCGCAGCTCAGCTCCGCCTCATGCGCCTCCGCTCGCCCTGCCAGGGCTTCGTAGAGTTCGGCGCGGAGCCTGGGAGGGAAATCGAGGGGTCCATAGGGGCCCTGGAATTTCGATGATTTTGACCCCATCCAATGCTTGGAAGTCTGGGGAATGTTGGAAAACACCTACTAACGATGGAAAAACAAAGGGGACTCAACGGAAAAAAACATGTTCTAATTGAACAACTCAAAAAAATGTGAGAACATGCCAGGAAATTTGCGTAATTAGAGTATCTACAGTCATTTTGA